TTCTCTCACCCATGGTGTCAGCCGCTAGACCCGTGGGTTACCACATTTCTCTCACCCATGGTATCAGCTGCTAGACCCGTGGGTTACCACATTTCTCTCACCCATGTGATCAGCTGCTAGACCCGTGTGTTACCACATTTCTCTCACCCATGGTATCTGCTGCTAGACCCGTGGGTTACCACATTTCTCTCACCCATGTGATCAGCTGCTAGACCCGTGTGTTACCACATTTCTCTCACCCATGGTATCAGCTGCTAGACCCGTGGGTTACCACATTTCTCTCACCCATGTGATCAGCTGCTAGACCCGTGTGTTACCACATTTCTCTCACCCATGGTATCAGCTGCTAGACCCGTGGGTTACCACATTTCTCTCACCCATGGTATCAGTCGCTAGACCCGTGGGTTACCACATTTCTCTCACCCATGTGATCAGCTAGACCCGTGGGTTACCACATTTCTCTCACCCATGGTATCAGTCGCTAGACCCGTGGGTTACCACATTTCTCTCACCCATGTGATCAGCTAGACCCGTGGGTTACCACATTTCTCTCACCCATGGTGTCAGCCGCTAGACCCGTGGGTTACCACATTTCTCTCACCCATGGTATCAGTCGCTAGACCCGTGGGTTACCACATTTCTCTCACCCATGGTGTCAGCCGCTAGACCCGTGGGTTTCCACATTTCTCTCACCCATGGTATCAGCTGCTAGACCCGTGGGTTTCCACATTTCTCTCACCCATGTGATCAGCTAGACCCGTGGGTTACCACATTTCTCTCACCCATGTGATTAGTCGCTAGACCCGTGGGTTATCGCCAGGCTTTTGCTCTCCCCCCACCCCTACCCCCCAGTGCATCGCACCACCTGCTTCGAACATTTCGGTCAGCAGACGTCTCGAGTCCGGATTTCGAACGTGACTTTTGGGTTAGCAAACATCCATTCTACGACTAGATCACACCACCCCCCTACATACAAAATCTAGCGTTAACTTTGTCCTTAAACCCAAACCTATGCCAAATCCGGCGGGGTGTGTTGATTTTCTTCATCTTTGGAATTGCTGCCTTAAACCGTGAACTCACCCTAATACGACTCTAATCCTGATCCTAACCCTTTTCAGACCAAAACCGCGATACCGGTAAAACAAGGAATATGTATGTCCTCATTAGCACTTTAACTATTTACTTTTTTATAATAAGCGATCTTCGAGTAGGTTTGCTAACGACTATTTAAAATGCTTACAATACACCAGTCGTAGTTAGGCAAATCTAGGCAAAAAAATTCCAGGTTTCTAACACGACTTAAAAGTTTTAAAGTTTACCCGTGTTTCTTAAAATAACTTTAGGGTAAAGTTCCGATGTTTACCGTATATTCCTTACAAGTAAAGTTCTAAGTTTACCGTATATTCCTTACAAGTAAAGTTCCGATTATTACCGTATGTTCTTGACAGGTAAAGTTCCGTTTTTTACTGAATGTTCCTTAAAAGTAAAGTTCTTAAGTTTACCGTATGTTTCTTACAAGTAAAGTTCTAAAGTTTACCGCGGTCAAAAATATAACAGCTCTGAAGATTTGTTAAGTTACTCATGACTGCATTTTGTATGACTTTCTAACGCTTGACATTTGTAATTTTGACGTTTTTCATCATTTCAGTTCATCGTCTTCTGCCTCGTGGCCACCGGTCTTCAATTTTACCTGGTGCAAATTGCAACTAGTGAGGACGTGAACGTAAGGACACTGTCAGGTTTACCCATTACATAGTGTCAAGATTACCCATTACATAATGTCAAGATTACCCATTACATAGTGTCAAGTTTACCATTACATAGTGTCAAGTTTACACATTACATAGTTTCAAGATTACCCATTACATAGTGTCAAGATTACCCATTACATAGTGTCGAGATTACCCATTACATAATGTCAAGTTTACAATTACATAGTGTCAAGTTTACACATTACATAGTTTCAAGATTACCCATTACATAGTGTCAAGATTACTCATTACATAGTGTCAAGTTTACATGTAACATAGTGTCAAGTTTACCCATTACATAGTGTCAAGTTTACGTGTAACATAGTGTTACGCTTACCCGTTACATAGTGTCAAGTTTACGTGTAACATAGTGTCAAGTTTACCCATTACATAGTGTCAAGTTTACGTGTAACATAGTGTCAAGTTTACCAGTTACATAGTGACAAGTTTGCCTATAACACAGTGTCAAGTTTAGCCATTATATAGTGACAAGATTACCCATTACATAGTGTCGTGTCAAGATTACCATTGACATAGTGCAAAGTTTATTCTTGAATTTGTGTCAAGTTTACTTATAACATTGAGTCAGGTTTACCCATGACACTGTGTCAAGTTTACCCATGATATTGTTTAGTTTTTTAATGCTCTAAGCTGTATCTTCAAGCACGTTAATAGTATCATATTATAATTGACTGCATAATGTTCTAGTTGTTATTTGTATGTTCTGTTGTTGTTTTTTTTTTCATTTTGTCGCGGGGTGACAGTTCCACACCGATGCCAAAAATACACTGAAAGAGAGATTGGCACACTACACAGTCGGGGGTACAGACGCCTTTAGTGTGGCTATGAACGCAATTATGTTTAAGGTAGGTGGGGCGACTGTGGGTTGTGGGTGTGGCGGTGGATGGGTAGGTGATTTGATGGGTGGGTGGGGCGGTGGATGGATGGATGGGGCAGTGGATAGATGGATGACTAGGTGAATGAGTGAGTGGATGAGTAGGTGAATGGATGGGTGGATGGATGGATGGATGGATGGATGGGGCGGTGGATAAATGGATGAGTAGATGAATGGGTGAGTGGATGGGTGAATGGATCGGGCGGTGGATGAGTAGGTGAATTGATGGGTGGATGGATGGATGGATGGGGCGGTGGATAAATGGATGAGTAGATGAATGGGTGAGTGGATGGGTGAATGGATCGGGCGGTGGATGAGTAGGTGAATTGATGGGTGGATGGATGGATGGATGGGGCGGTGGATAAATGGATGAGTAGATGAATGGGTGAGTGGATGGATGGGGTGGTGGATGAGTAGGTGAATTGATGGGTGGATGGATGGGTGGGTGGGGCGGTGGATGGGTAGGTGAATGGATGGGTGGGTGGGGCGGTGGATGGATGGATGGATGGATGGGGCGGTGGATAAATGGATGAGTAGGTGAATGGGTGAGTGGATGGGTAGGTGAATTGATGGGTGGATGGATGGAGGGGGCGGTGGATAAGTGGATAATTAGATGGATGGATGGATGGATGGGGCGGTGGATAAATGGATGAGTAGATGGATGGGTGGATGGATGGATGGGGCGGTGGATAAATGGATGAGTAGATGAATGGGTGAGTGGATGGATGGGGTGGTGGATGAGTAGGTGAATTGATGGGTGGATGGATGGAGGGGGCGGTGGATAAGTAGATGAATGGGTGAGTGGATTGATGGGGCGGTGGATAAGTGGATGAGTAGGTGAATGGATTGGTGGATGGATGGAGGGGGCGGTGGATGAGTAGATGAATGGGTGAGTGGATGGATGAGGCGGTGGATAAGTGGATGAGTAGGTGAATGGATAGGTGGATTGGTAGGTGAATTGTGGATAGGTGGGTCGGTGGATAAATGGATGAGTAGTTAAGTGGATGAGTGTGCGAGTATAAACAAACGTCACGTGTGACGACATGTATATTTCACAGGCCCAGTGCTGTGGTATTGAAAGCGTGTCCGACTTTAAAAATCTAACTTTCATTGAAAAAGTGGGAGAAACTCAGCATACCATCACCTTTGCGGTAGGTACCTCGACCCAAACGGTATAGAAATTAACCTTGACTCTACACCGTTTGTTTTACTTGTCAGCACCCGTAGAGACACAAATACAAAGTAGTCACTGTGGTGAAATGTTTAAATAACATTCTGTGGCGGAACCAAGATGGGGACGAGATGTTACAAGATGTGGGGGAGGGGAGGGGACACCACACACACCTTGAGGGTGTGTGGCACCTGTGGCTGGGGTGTAGAGCTGGTCGAGGGGTAGAGTGTGTTCTTGGTTTGTCAAGCAAAAACTGGACTTTTCCTTGAGCCAAACTCTACATCGCAGTGGCGATGTTATTGACAATAGGGCTGGTAAGTAGGTCACCAACCAGTTCCATGGCTCATGCAGGTCTTTAATGAGCCGTAGTACTGGTTGGTGATCTACTTACCAGCCCTATAACGACCTTAGTTGGGAAGTTTGAGTTTTGAGTTTAGGTTAACGGCTGAGGTTTGCTTTTGTTTTAACGCTTAAGCTTTGAGCTTAGGTTAACAGCTATTTGTTTAGGTTAATCGCTGAGGTTTGATTATGGCTTAACGCTTAAGCTTTGAGCTTAGGTTAACAGCTATGTGTTTAGGTTAACGGCTAAGGTTTGCTTTTGGTTTAACGCTTAAGGTTTGAGCTTAGTTGAACAGCTATTTGAGTTTAGGTTAGCGGCTAAGGTTTGAGTTACGATTAAACCTTACGGTTTGATGACTAGCAATAGTGTTCAAAGTGTGCGGGAAAAGGGGGGGGGGGGTGTCGTTCATGTATTACTTGAGGGGGTGGCGGCGTGGTACCTGGAGGAGGGGTTCTTTAAAGGGGACAAAGCGTAAATTGTATATATTTTGTTACAAAATTCTTCAAAGACATTAATATAATTTACATTTTTAGTTGAGTTTGGTGGGGGGGGGGGTGAAAAATGTGTCGTCGGGTGCAGATACGTGTGTTGGGGAACACGTGACTGCAATAAATGGACACCCCACCCACACCCCACCCCCTGTGGAGAAGATATCGTTTGGGATTAAAGAAGTGTTATCAGCGTGAATATATGTACGCCACATGCGGTACGGTTAAGCCAAGAGTAACCAAGCCCCACGTTGTTTGGACAGGTACCTCCTCCTTGTTGCCACAGAAGTCTGTTTGGCGGTTCCTCAGCCTCCCTGGCATACAACGCGGTCAAGAGCTGCGCCATAATGGGTAG